TTTTCCAAAATTTGGAATTTCCGAAATTTGAAAGTTTCAGTATTCAGGATTCCCAAATTTTATATAGTTTCTGAGGTTTGAAATTCCCAACGTGTGAAATTTCCAAAAATTTGAAATTCCCAAAATGGAAGACTCTCAAAATTTGGAATTTCCAAAATTTGAAATTTTCAGTCTTCTGGATCCTCAAATTTTGTAAAATTTTCAATAGTTGAGGCTATTAAAAGTTTGAAATTCCAGAAATTTAACGTTCGCAGAATTAAGGATTCTGATTTCCCAAAATTTGAAATGTCATTGATTAGTAAATTCTAAATGTACTAATAAAGTGTATTCAACCGTGGTATAAGTAATTCATCTTTTTCACAGTCACTACTAAATGAATCGTCCGCAGTCTGCATGCAAAATGTAAAAGTACATACAAATTCGCCTTAATAATACATGTTTGAACGCACTCGACACACACAATACTCGCATGGTGGCATGAGTTTATGTTTATTATAACAAATTGTCTTTACAGCCGCACTCTGATCATTGATGCTTTGATCCAACAAATTATATTTCAGTAGATTAGATATTTAATTTTCAACACATGCGTTGTTATTATACTATGATGACCATTCTATTCTTCAACTTAGTATAGTGATCACCATATTTACTAATTGAAATGAATCGCACTGTGTGTATTGCTTGTTAATATTTAAGTAATTGCTTTTTGATTGCTCGTAGCATGATGAATAATGAATAATAATTGTATCTTGCAGGAAGAGTTGTTCGACTTCAGTACAGTTTCAGTATTTTACAAAAGAAGGATTGGTCATTATCAAGATATTGAATGTGAACAAAGAATGTTGAAAAAAAGAAACAAAAGAAAAAAGAAGAAGGAAAGAAAGAAATGGAATAAAAAGACAATTCGAAATCCAGTACAATTATAAAATGAAGTACATAATTTATAAAACATTAATATAAGAATACTATATTATATTAAAAATAAATTATAATAATATATTGTGTATGCGTTACATATATATAATTCATTTATATTTCTTTCATTATTGCAATATATTATGTTATAAATGAATATTAATAAAAGATAAAATATTCAGTAATAATGATATAATATTATATATAATAATATACAATAATTCATTTATATCTTTAATTATTACAATATATTATATTATAAATGAATATTAGAAGATAAAATGTCCAGTACAATAATATAATATTATACGTAGTAACATACTATAATTCATTTGTATTCAATTATTACAATATTATATTGTAAATGAATATTCAATATCTTCAATAAGAACAATCCTTCCTGCAGGATGTCCAACGTAATACCCACTGTACAAAAGATGTACGAAATACTTATAGCTAATTAGGTTAACA